AGGACAATTTTGTTCGACTTACACATGGGATTGTCTTGTACTTCCACTCCTACATTTGACTTTCATGCTTGCAGAATTATTTTTGCACACAAAAATACCAGGTCAGAGTTTTTTTCAATCAAGTTTTTATTTTCTGTGCATTTAATCCTTTGGGTCCTTTCCTTGGCTATTTGACACTCTTGTGGAATGTTAAAAGGGCAACAGCAGTTCAAGAACTTCATATGTAATTATCCACATATAGTCAGGGAAAAAGCTGCTTTCATAAAACTGAACCTGAAAATGTAGGGTCAACTTACAAATGGAAAATTGTGGTATTAAAAGCCAATACATTATATAGCAATCAGTTTTTGTGGCTTTTAGATGTACAACTACTGCTAAACAGACATGACCTCGCCATTTAGAAAGTTAAGCATAAAAAATGAGGAACAGGGTTCCTGAACATTTCAGTGTCCTACCTACTTGTAAGAATGGAAATATCAGCCATGCAAAGCAAAGAATATGACACACCACATGACACAGTGTGTTATCTGTTACCTCATGAGTTTTAATGGTTTTGTTTCTTTCTTACTAGAACGAGAGAGGTGATTCTGCCTAAATTTAAGCTGGAAAAGAGCTATAACCTGATTGGTTTTCTGAAATCCATGGGAATACAAGAACTGTTTGCTGAAACAGGCAACTATTCTGGAATATCAGATGAGAAAGTCACCATTAACATGGTAATTGTTTCCTCTTCTGTCCTCATTCACCTTCCTTATAATTTCCTGTCATATATCAAGTAGACAAACTAAAATATTCCATAGCTTAGTTAAGTAGCTAAACAGATTCCAATCTCTCCTGGAGCATGCAGAAGGGATCTGAGCTTCTCTCAACCTAGGGGAAGACGAGTCATGTTGTGACTGTTAATTATTGCACAGTGTCAGGCTGCTCTTAGTCATAGCCAGACAGGTGTAAGTGTTTTCAGAAGCCAAAACCAGAGAATTATTACTATATGGGAATTATGGGGGCCAGGGAACCACATGCAGCATAGAAAAAAAATGCAGTATTGCAATTAAATTTTACCACTCCTGGGTAAGGTAATTATAGAACAACTTGCTGAATTCAATATTAAGTGTCTAGAGTCTTATTTTCTATTCTATTTTACAGTTCAACCACCAAGGCACAATCACTGTGAATGAGGAAGGCACAGAGGCTGTGGCTGTGACTACTGTGGGGTTCATGCCCCTTTCCACTCAGATTCGATTCACTGTTGACCGTCCTTTTCTGTTCCTTATCTATGAGCATCGCACCAACTGCCTGCTGTTTATGGGTAGAGTTGCTAACCCTAGCAAGTCTTGAGAATGGAGGTGTGCTATATGGATACTTACCCACAAGGCTGTGTGATTATGTTTTAGTATAGCAATATTTGAAAGGAAAAAAAATGTTTGGCACATTAGTGGTCCCAGATGCTATCATTACATGAGTTACTGCTATCAGAAGAAAATGCAGTACTGGTGGAGATGGTCATCAAATGGACTCGCACCACTAGATGATTTGACAGCAGTTCTTAAAAGGTTAATATCATGCAATGATAGAATTAACTGTATTGAAACTTCTAGGTAACTTACACTTTATTCTACTTCGGTGTATTAAATGTAATGAGAAAATAAAACATTTAGTCCAAGTGAATGCTTGAAGTTAAGATCTTAAATTTGTATTTAAGGAACAAGCAGGCACCTTAGGGATGTTCAAACAGACAACAGCTTTTTAGGCCTTCTTAATGCCTAAATCAGACTTAGGAATCTAGCATTAAGTACCCATTTTTTTAAAACTTTCAGCTTTATAAGGCTTGCATCTGCCCTTCATTACCTTGTGGCACAAATTCAGTCTGGAGGAAACTGGCACTATTTCTAGGGAAAACCTAGCCAAAACCTGCAGCAGGCTAAATGGAAGAGTAAGTAGTAACTTGAACTGATTTCCTACTCAGCAGGTGCATATTGCATTAAACCTGTGCATGTGAGGCGCAGAAAAGAGGGGCAGTAGGAAAAAGTCATTTAACAGGCCTGGGTAAGAAACTAACCGGTTTCTTCATTCTATACTGGCTTAACTCTCATTATTTCAATAGTTACTCTAGCTCTTCAAGGCTGTTCGGGGTCAAATGTTTAATACATAATCAGTAAGATTCATAGAATAGTTTACATTTTGGTGACCAGAAGAAGAATGCATTGTTTGCAAAAGCTTGTCTAAGTCTATTGCAATTGTACAGCTAGCCCAACAACAGTTATCACCCACAAAAATCCTTGCCTCTGCATCATATAGCAAAAGGTATTTTATGTACAATGGTGGAGATGGGGAAACACTTATTTCAGCAGGTAAACACCACTCTCTCTTTCCTCCATTTCTTTACTAAAGTCTTTTCTATAAAACAAAGTGTTTGTGAAAGAAAAGGAAGTTTTGAAAAACCATTCCAGACTCAATCTAATGTATTTTGGTACACAAAACTTCATAAAGAGCAGTGAAATACTTGCAGTTCCTTCAGCTTTTATAGTAGGAACACAAATCCTACTGACTTTTATTTGGTATCCATATGTATGCAACACACTTCTATTTAATGTGGGAACCTACTCCTAACTTCAAAGACAATCATTTAATGGAGGAACAAAAAGTTACATGTTTTATACCAACTGTTAAAATACCCTGATAAGAGTCATATTCACATTTCACGCCTCCTACTTTTTCCTATGTCTTTTACAGAGCACACCCTGTCGTCTCAGTCTGTCATACTATTTGTCACAAAATCTCAATTACTTGACTATTAAACTTAGGCTACCAACAAATATGCAAAGTAAGACATTATATATCAATCAATCAGTTACTTTAAGGATTAAGCAGCCTTTAAAGTTTGTTAAAAATCCTATACTATACAATTGTTGTTGATCCTGTTTTGCTTTTATGCAACACAATTTTGATTTTTTTTGTCCCTTAAAATTATCTGTCCAGCTCCATATAAAACTGTTTTAACATTTAAAGGCAAATAAAGCTGCTGCACTGAAAAAATATGAAGAGTTGATATTTTGCCAAACAAAATATTTTCCCTTTTTTAATATGCCATGACTGTTACTTCAAATCCAAGTCCTTGTTCAAAAGCTTCTTGCACATAAATATTTTTCACTATTAAAAACTTTTTGCCAGAAAAGCATTAAATAATATGTTTCAAGTATGGGAATGCTTTCTACTTCTTCACAAACCAGGAATATGTATTTATATTAAAAGCAAAGCATAATCAAGAAATCAAATTACACCATCAGTCATCAAGAATTAAATTATTAGACAACATTATTTGGAAGCAGGATTTTTTTTTAGATCAAGATAGTTACTGTTAGCAAGGGAAAGCGAAAGAGGTCAAACAGAAAAGCAAATGTAGCTTAGAACCCATGATCTTCATACATTGTGCAAGAAAATCAAATATTTGCTTCTGCACCCATAATGTAACCATTAACTCTTGCTACAGTTTCGGACACTATTTATTCTTCACAATTTGAAGGTGACTTTGGTTAAGAAAAAATGCAGTTTCCATTGACTATTCAGAGCAAATGTGTTTTATCAATAAATATGTGAAACAGTAAAAGTTTCAAAGCCCATGGCAGGATGTCTCCAGTGAAACTGGTTATATTTAAGAGCTTGATCTTGCCCCTATTGAAGTCAATGCCAAAATTCCGCTAGACTTTGGTGGGAGATGAAAAACCGCAATTGGAAATTACAGGTCTCAAACAGGACTGCAGTGGTCTCATTTAAAGCTGCTTGGTTTTTGAGCCAGACTTTTCATGGTAGCAGCACCCATGTCA